ATGACGCCAAGAGAGTGGACTCTACAGAAGAGGTGATATCTGGGAAAGGCCTTGAGGGATGAATAGGCGTTTGCCGGGTGAAGAATATGCATAGGAAGCTGTGCACACAGAGATGCAGCGTGCGCCTTCAGGGTGTCAGCTCAATGAGGTGCCCCAGCAGCCGTCAGCAGGCCTGTCTGTCTTCATCCTGGCCGTCTTCATTCGCACCTCGATGACATCAGAATCCCAGGTGTTGCCAACTGCGGCGGCTTGAGGGTGCGGGTCACCAGCATCTCCCTCCTCTGGTAGATGAGCCGCTGGGCAGAGCAGGGAAATCCAGCCCCTGCAGCTCCCCAGGACCTTCCGCTTGTCATCGGGCTGCCAGTGGATGGCACTCGACCCCCGCCTCGGGCCTCTCTCCGCAGGCTGGAGTCTGTGCGGCTGGAGTACCGCGCGGGGCTGAAGAACATCGCCAGCACGCTCATGGCCAAGGCGCTGCAGGAGTGCCCCAACTCCGGTGAGCACCCCGCTCCCAGGCTGCAGACAGGGGCATCAGGTTCAGACAGACAAAAATACATCTGTTACACTCGGTCATTTAGACGATTGAACTCAAGCCTCAGCGTGAGGAGTTTGACCTCGTGTTCTGAGGTGCTACCGTTTTTTTAATATATATAATTTAGTTTTTTACTATTTCATTTCAAGTCTGTAAGTTAGTGCACGTGCGGTATAAACGAATTTGGAGCACAAAAGGGGACATGAAAATCACCTGTAAGCCCAGTACTCGGAAATCATTGCTTTTAGCTTGTTTGTATTTTTATAACTTGTATTATTGCACAAAATCAAAGTCATACTGTGCGTTTGGTTTTGTGCCCTTTTTTTTTTTTTTGGCTGTGTTGGGTCTTCGTTGCCGCACGTGGGCTTCCTCTAGTTGCGGCGAGCGGGAGCTACTCTTCCTTGTGGTGCGCGGGCTTCTCATCGCGGTGGCATCACTTGTTGCGGAGCACGGGTTCTAGGCGCGCGGGCTTCAGTGGTTGTGGCTCGTGGGCTCTAGAGTGCAGGCTCAGTAGTTGTGTCACCCGGGCTTAGTTGCTCTGCAGCATGTGGGATCTTCCTGGACCAGGGCTCAAACCCGTGTCCCCTGCATTGGCAGGTGGGTTCTTAACCACTGCACCACCAGGCAGGGAAGCCCTGTGCCTTTTTTTATTTTTATTTTTTTATTTTATTTTTTTTTTAAGAATCAATCCTTTCTGTCTCTAAGGTATTTTATTCAGTATCTCTCCTAAAGTTTCTGTTACGTGTGTAATTTTTTTTTTTTTTTTTTTTTTTTT